TAAAAAAAAAATTACATACAAATTATATTCATTAAATTTTATATATTAAAATTTAAATTTTTCAAAGTAAATAATTTATTTTTATTCTTCAAATAATACATATAATAATATCCTTGCATATTATTAATAAATATTAATAAGTCAAAACTTTGTTTTTTTAGTATTATATTAAGAAACGTCAAGACTACAGAAAAATAATTCAAACCACCATTAAAAAATTTAATAGACATGCAAATCTTTGTTAAAACACTTACCGGAAAAACCATCACTTTAGATGTCGAGTCATCTGACACTATTGATAAAAACAACAACAACAATAGTTCTTTAATTTATACGGCAGCCTATTTAAGTTTACAAAATCACATTAATAATGATGATGACGAAATCCAAAAAAAATTCGAAACTTACATAGATGATGATTATTACAACATCACGACATCGACGAATCCAAAAAAATTCGAAACTTACGTAGATGATGATTATTACAACACCACATGAGGATGTTACCTAATACTGGTATTAGTTCTAGTTAAATATATAAAATTTTAAAAAACTACATTTTTACTGAGCATGATAATTTATCCAAATGTTTCTAAACTTAAATAGTAAAATAAATAAATAAATTGTTTGACTATAATGTTTAGACTATTTCTTATTTATTTCCATAAATCGTTACATTTATCATGATTTAATTTATCGAAAGTGTTACGATATTCGAAAGTGTTATGGATATTCGAAAGTGTTATGGATATTCGAATATATAAAAATTATTTGACACCAATTTCGAATATGCTAATTAATGTGAATATTCGAATAGTAATATATATAGGAACACTAGTACTAGTTAAATTTATTATTATACTATATATTAAAATGGATGGCAAAATATGTTGATCATTTGAAACAAAATAAGGCGCAACGTTGATTTAACATTCAACACCTTTAATACATTTAATATAACAACAAATATAATTATTCAGATATATGACCATCTGTTATTACAATTTGTCATTAGAAAATAGATATACTACATTGACCTGTTGATAATTGCATTTATACCCTCAGAAAAAATAGCTAAGCATTGTAATTATCCAAGTTTAATGATATTTTTATTAATAATTCACTAATTTATTACTTTTTTCATGATCTATATTTTACTAAATTGATAATTGCTTTTTTATACAATTGACAAATCAATAAATAATAAAATAATACTTCTCTTATTTTATATTTTACAAATCGCGCCACATAAATATTTGATACAGGATCTTGAGCTTAGGCGAATGAATGAATTAATGAATGAGAGCCAACAAGTGAGTAGGTGGCATTATCAATCTCCAACCATGAATTATCGATCTAATTTTATTGTTGGATAAATTGTGAATTAAAAAAAAATTAATAATATATTATAAAATAATGAAGCCTGCATGAATTACTACTTGAATATATCACTAGTTCCTTACTAAAGAATTTTTAGTTGATGTTAAAAGCTAGTAATGATTCATGCCATGGTAGTCTCGTTTCTATTTATTACTATACATACATACATACATATATATAATATAAAATAAAATATTATTATACAACCTTGCCTTTTTATAAAATTCTAGTTTTTTTTTATAAATCGATAGTTATTAAGGTTAACTTGAAGACCTGTTCATTTAGTTTAACAAAAATATATAGTAGAGGACAAGAATTCGTAACTTTGTTTATAGAATTCGTAATATATGTCGAACTTCACATTACCTTTTTAGTAAACTTTATTAACAAAGGTTATCAAAAGCACACCGCTAAATAGCTTTAATCCCAGAGAGTGTATATACAAAGTTTCGTTTAAGTTTCGCAATTTTACAAAATTGTGGTCTTGTGATTTTTTTACCATATGACGTACTGTGTAACCAAACTCTACCCTTAATAGTCACACAACGAAATTTAAACGCGCTGACGCTATTACTATTCAATCAATTCTTATTCTCTGAAAAAGGAATAAGGAATTGAGTAAATAAAGAATTATGAATAAATAGACGGCTTGGCATTTTTCAACACTGACGCCATTCAATCAATTCTTATTCTCTGAAAAAGAAAAAACAATATAAGGAATTGAATTGAGTAAATAAAGAATTATGAATAAATAGACAGATTAGCATTATTATCAAAAAAAAATTTTCTACTATATATTCATTAAAACACCAAGTTGACTTTTATACTTCATACCTTTATACAATGTCATCTATTGATTTATTATCACCAGAAAGAGAGAAATTTGTATCTAAAATTTATAAGGAAATGTATAATAATGCTTTGGTTAATTCTGTTAGAGAAACTAAAAAAGATTATTTTTTTTCATTAGTCAAAAAAAACCAGGAGCTTTCTGAAAATGAAAAAGAATATTGTAAAGAAAATTTTATTTATTATTTTGAATTAAGAAGTGCAAGAAATAAAAGTGGCAAATCAAAAAAATGTAACAAGTGTAGATTGACAAAATACTCAGATAGATTCTGTGAAGGTTGTATTAGCTTACAATTACAGAGTCTTTTCACTAATTGGACATCTGGCAATAACATTGTTGATAATTTTATTCAACAATGTCAAATGAGATCATCCCTGCCAAACTATATTTTAGAATGGATACCTTATGAACAATTTGAAAAGGTAACAAAGTTAACTGAAGGTGGATTTAGTTCAATTTATACTGCTACATGGACAAGAGGAACTATTAAGGATTATGATGAAAATAAAAAGGAATTTAGTTATTTAGGAGAGCAAGAAGTAGTATTAAAAAGTTTAAACAATTCAAGTAACCCAGGAAGAGCTTTTTTTGATGAGGTTGGTGGTTGTCATTTAAAACAAAAATAAACAATACTGTATTTTATATAATACTAATTGATTTTATATCCAATTTCAGGCAATAAATTACTGTAAAGTTAAAACAGGGATGATTGTTTCTTGCCATGGTATAACCAAATTCCCAGATAATGGAAATTATGCAATAGTTTTAAATTACTATCCAGAGGGAAATTTAAGGGATTATTTGGAAAAAAATCATTTAAATTTAGCATTAAAAGACAGAATTACAATATTTAAATATTTATGTAATGCATTATATTGGATGCATGAAAAAGGTTTAATCCATTGTGATTTACATAGTGGTAATCTATTAATGAGTGGAGGTGATTGTCATATTACAGATTTGGGATTATGTGGGCCAGTTGATAAAAAATCATCAAGTAAAATCTATGGAATTGTATCATATGTTGCACCTGAGCTATTTAGAGGCAAAAAGAACACAAAAGAAACTGATATCTATAGTGTTGGGATGTTAATGTGGGAAATATTTGCAGGTCATCCACCATTTGACAATAGAGCTCATAATCATCATTTAGTTTTTGATATATGTGAAGGTTTGCGACCACCAATATTACCAGGAATGCCTGATGATTATGTGCAAATGATGAAGAGGTGTTGGGATGTGAATCCATCAAAAAGACCAATTATTAGAGAGCTTTTATATTTTGCTGTAAATAAATATAAGAAAATTCTTAAAAACAAAAGTTTAGATAATGATGGTAGTAGCAGCAGCAGTGGTGGTAGTGATTTGCAACAAGTACACAAATCACATCCAGATGCATATCGTATAAGTAGAATACTAGATGAAGAGATAACTAAATCTAAAAGTTTAAAACTTTATACAAGTTATGATATTTCATTAAATGATCTTGATTTTAACTCTTTTCTCTAGAATGTTAATATTAATTAATTGGAAATTATTATTAGCAGTATTAATTAATTAATAACATTAAAATTCTATATAGTAACAATAGTAAAAGAAAGAATTGATGAATGACTAATTTAATCTCCACTATAAATTTATCATTATCTTTTCATTTTATTCTTATTAAAGCTAAATTATAATGTTTTGAAATAATAAACCTTTTACAATTTCCTGATTTTTGTTAATGCAAAATACATTTTGGTTAATCAACAATTATGGCTACGCTTATCAGTTGATTGCAAATAATTCGGTGCTTGTCAATTAATTAATTTACAAATTTACTAATGCCTCTTTCTTTCACCTAGGCGAATCTGTGATGGTACCAGATAACTGTAAAAAATAAATAAAGATGGCCTTTTTACAAAGCTCTTGAGCTTTTATAAATTCTTTGTAATCGATTTATTACCCTTGTTTACATTTATTGACCGATTGCAAACTCGCTTTGATTTATTTGCAAAACAACTTATGTTTAGATTACAATAATACCACCAATACTTCCGATTAACCTTTGGATCAACACTCACTAGTTAACCAACGCTAGTCCTAACCTTGCTCACCTGCTCGCTAAAGCAAATAAATGTGGCCTTTTACCAAGCTACGCAATTGTTGCCTTTTATCAAAGCGCTTTAAACAAAGGAAATAAAGGCAATATTTTTATTTTTTAAAGGTTTATTAACGATTAATTTATTTAATAAAAATAATGATTCTATCAGAATTTTATTTTATTAGAATGTTAATTATCTATTATTTGTCTTCTGCGAGGACCCGAAGTTATCCTTAATGAAATTTCGTTGATTACTACAATAAGGATAAAGATAAAGATTGATTTATTATTGCAAAGCAACTTAATCAATATTATAAAAACTTGCATAATTATTACAATAATTATAAAAGGCTTTCGCGTAAACTAAAATTAGTTAACCCTGGAACATAAAGTACCGAATCCCTAATACTAATTGATGGTTTTATCTACCCGATCATTGTTATTAATATTAATATAAGCAATGTTCGAGTTTAGCAGTAAATGAGTGTGTGGGAACTCAGCAAAAGAAAATTTTGGCTCCTTGAAAATAACTGATAAAACAAAGGAGAGATTAGAATACACAAGAAAATATAAAAAAAAGACCTTGGAATATACATTTATAAATCCTTTTTGTGAGCTTTTATATCTCATTAACCTTTAAAGCAATTTTACTTGCGTCATTTTTGACTTAATAATAGTAAAACTATTACGCCCATTAATAATAAGAGGCAGAAAATTAATTCATTCTGTAACAAACATTTTTAGAAATTAAATTCAATAAAAGCACCTTTGAAATCGGAAAATCAAGCAGTAGGGTTTAATTGTTTATTTAGTTATCAGAGTGTTATAGAACTAGAGCTTCTATTTGTAATACATATCATTATTCGAATTATGAAACATAATAATAATAATAACGAATAAAACAAATAATTCAAATAAACCTTATTCAAATAGAAGCCCTATATAAGACTCTGAGATTTTGTGACTCGGTTTTGGTTATTTGCTTTGGTAGAATGCAAGGTTTAATTTTTGGTTTTTGTTAGTGTAAAAATTTTGGTTTTTGTAAAATAATTTAAGGCGTTAAGATTGTTCAGTCAGATATAAAGTGCTAACATTTATTAAAGTCGTTATCACATATCACTTTGTTGTGTTGTGTGTTAAAGTATTTTGCCAACTGTGATCAGCCAAAGAAAAGTAAAAACA